CTCTTTGCATTGAGGGTGGTTAAGCACTGAACAAATGCCCACAGATGTTCTGAAGTCTCTGTCCTTGGATAGATCAGGTGCAATCTGATCAAATTTTGAAATGTGCCCTTCTTTGGGCAGGTGGTTGGACTAGGTGATGTCCAGTTCCCTTCAAGCCTGTGTTTTTCTGTGGTTTTGTTAGCTGCACAACAATTAAAAGCCTGTATTCTATATTCATCTGCTTTCATTCAAAATACCAAAGACTTACGAATAGTGAAACCATCCTCCTTCTAATGGAATTAGAGTACTTTCTGCAAAACCTGTGGTAGTTGTATGAGCAAAAAAAATTTTTTATATACAAGACAGCAACACCGTCATCTCTGAACATCCTTTTAAAGTGATATAAGAGAGCAACGTTATATCAGTACGAGCTCTACATGTCGTCGTAGTTTTTCAGGTTTCTGTCAGTGCTTAAGAGTTGATCGTTTTCCCTTGTGTATTTCAGATTTTTTTTTGTTTGTTTTGTTTTAAGAAAATTTTGTGTATGATATGTCAGAAACCCAGAATCCAGTTTCCCAGCTGAGTGTTGCTTTGCATGCTAACAGTTACCACACTTAGTGCATCAGTGTCTTGCACATTTAACGTTGTTTAAAAATAAGATAAGCATTTGAAGTGAAGAAAAGTATGAATAACAAAGATGCAACATTTTGTTTCTGTCAGATTTTTCAGACATTCCGTATACTGACTGGTGTGGGCAGACCATGCACAATCACTTAGATGTGCATTCCTCCAAATTTTCTGGAATTTCAGGCTGTAGTGACGCAGTATCCCATGGTTCAGCTAGTAGCACCAAGAGTACAGAGCTTGTACTAGGTAAGTTTGAAAGCCTTATGAATATTAAAGACAAAAACTCTTAAAGTATTTTCCCAGGTATTGTGGAAAAATAATATTTTGCAACAAAGTAATGCCCATTACTTACAAACAAACAAACAAAAACACACGCTTTGGGTGCCCTAATCATTATCAGTTAAGGTAGCAGCATTGTCCATGTTTAGAGCAGATAGGAGAACACACTTTCAAACTCTTCTGCCTAGGCTGAATGGCATTTTTGCAGGTAACCTGAAGAGCTCTGTATCATACACTACAATGGAATTGATAGTCTTTTTTTCCTTGTATTGGTAGGTTTTAAAAAAAAAAAAAAAATTCAATGAGTACATAAAGTACTGAATTTGTCTTTTATGAGAGACCTTTGAAGTTTAAATAGAAATTAAATGTTATCATTGACATGTTCTCATGTAAAGAGAAAGCAGTTTCTTTTTTTGAACTTGTTTTATGTTTTGCATTATCAGAATTTCTTGTGAAGTAGCTTGTTGCTGACTTTACCAGCATCTGATACAAACTGAAGAGCTAATCTGCCTTCCAATTAGCAACATCGTTTAGCGACAAAGACAGTGCTGTCATTGAATCTTAGTGGCTTCAGTTTTTCCAAATGCCACAAAGCATTTATGAAGTGCTAGTTTACCTTTTTTAAACACTGCCATGTTAGAATTCATGAAGGTAGTATTTGTAAGTTTTGATGGGAATATTTGCTGGTAGTTCAGAAAGGAATATATTGTATATACATATATGTACATGCACACACGTGTGTATACACACACACACACATGCATGTGTATAGGCATGTTTATATAAAACCCTGAAACTCATTCATGTGACATAAGTTTAACACAATTAAAGACTATTCTGCTTGTATTTCATACTGTTGAATTTATTTTTCAAGGAGTAAAATCAATCCCAGATGATACACCAGTGTGTAGGATACTGCTGCGGAAAGAAGTCTTACGTTTAGTGATCAATTTGAGTAGTTCAGTAGGAACTAAGGGCCATGAAACTGGACTCCTGACGTAAGTTAAACATTTTTTTGAATTACGGTTCTAGCACCATTCAGTTGTATGTATTCCCTAAGATCTTATAGGGATCCACGTTATTTCTGACTCCTCAAAAAAATTTTCAAGCAGATTTCATAGTGTGTTACCGGAGTAATTGAACACAATGTAAAAGCTTAAGCTTTAACCTCAGAAGTGCAGCACTAAGCTTTGCAGCAGATGTAAGTGTATAAGTAATACACTTAGGGGTATCTGTTCCATGTTTGCATGAACGAGTGGGAGCGGTTTGTCGTCATAACTCTTTTAAGAATTTTCCTTCTAATATTTCTGCTTTGTCTTTAATGTCTTGCTCTTTCACATTCTCTTTCAAAACAGTAATTTAACCGTAGTGGTGTTTCATTGCATATCTCCGTGTATATAGTTTTGCATGTATACACATATACACAGTCTGTGCAGGACTTTAAAACTTTATTTTCTTGTTGATCAGAATTAAGGAGAAGTATCCCCAAGCATTTGATGACATATGCCTTTACTCTGAGGTGTCCTACTTGTTAGCGCATTGTACATTTCGACTCCCATCTCGAAGGTTCATTCAAGAGCTATTTCAAGATGTACAGTTTTTACAAGTAAGTTGAATGCACCAAAGCGTGCCATCTGGGTGCAGGTTTAATGTTCGAAATGAAAGATACTTTCAGGCATGATTTACAGGCAAGGCATTTTATGTCTTTCTAGTAAAATATCTAAAGAAGGTACTAATATTACATCTGTCTCTCTCTTTTAGATGCACGAAGAAGCAGAGGCTGTTCTAGCAACACCAACAAAACAACCAGTAATTGACGCATCAGCTGAATCCTGACCTCTGTCTCAGGCAGTGTGTTACATATGGACTTCCTGAAATCCTCAGACAACCTCCAGTTGACTGGATGATATAGTTTGGAGCGTCATCTTCTAGACTGTTCCAGAAGCTACTGGTACCTAAAGAGTGAACTGAAAACCTTTTTTTTTTTTTTCCTCTACCAGTTACTGCCCCAGTCTTTTGAGCCCTTTGGGGAGTTATTAAACATTACCATAGTTTTAATAATAGTAATTACCAGTATATGCAAGAGCCGAGCACTGAACACCTCCACAAATTTTCATTTCATTTTTTAACATAAATAAAAAAAAAAAATAGGACAATGTGCAGAGACATCTTTTATGACTGACTTTTGAATCTGTTCCAGAGAAGCAGAATGATGCCTTGCTCTTTAACCCCTGGATACCAGGAATCAGAGTATCTGAGGGTGCATTCCATTGGCAGCAATGGGGAGCTGTGCTGTAATCGTGGACACCGGGGGGTTTAATGTTAGCCCTGCTCTGTTAGTTTTCGTACTGTTTGTAACACTACTTGGGGGGGGGGGGGGTTAAATTTCAGACAGCAAGAAAAGCCTCTGTGAACCTGAGGTATTCTTTAAGTTATTTTAATATTACTATAGTTGTAAGTCATTTTATTAGCAGTCTCTCCAGTTTCATTGCATTTACATATATGTATCTTATCGCGACCAGTTAAGGATTTTCACTACAGTTTGATTTAAAAGCAAAAAATGATTTAGACTTAAAATGCTGAAATCAGATTGTTTTCCCTGAATGATATGCACGTGTTTGAAGATCCTAGACTCATGCTCATATGGTATGTATGTTGGTCATATTCTTAATTGAAAACCTTTAACAAGCATGATTTTTATCAGATAAATGAATATTGTATCAACTGAACTTGAAAACATTTAATCATTGCTGCTTTTGTAAGACGACATAGTAAATAAGCAGTTTCCACGCTCCATGGAAACAGCCTTTTATAGAAACAAAGGTTTGCTTGAATTTCAATGTATGAGTGATCAAGCATCAGATAGTACTAAAAATTGTAGTGAAAAGCCTTAAGAACCAAATTTTGAAGCAGCAGTACTTACAAATTTATATTGGTATTGAGACCTGTTGCACAAGTTACATGATACACTGACTGCTAGGGGAAAACAATTGCCTTTATCATGTCACTAGTGAGGTGGTTAAACTAATGAGTGCAAGTTTGAAGAAAAAAAAAAAAATTAAGTATCCCCACCGCTTCTGTCATGCATTTAAAGATTCAGAAGCCTTTATAAAAGGGTAATATAAATATATGCAAATGTATATATACAGTAGCATGGCCATCTTTGTTAGAATACCTGTAATAGAAAGGGTTACCCTTTGATTTTGATATAGGTGAATAATTCAGCTGGACTGTACTAGGTAGAATGTATTTTTTTTCCATTCGCTCTTACCATTTTTTTTTTAAAATAATTGTCAGATTAATACTTAGATGAAGATAAGTGAAATTTATCCTAATACTCATAACCCTGATCTTACTAGCTATGCTACTGGAGACTTCCATAAGTAGGTCTGTGAACCGTTAACAGCATAACATGATTTGTACTGAAATGTAGAATTTATTTGCTCTTAGTGGAAATATCATCTTGCCACATCAGCACTGCTTGGCAGAGATCACTTCACTGAGTTCTTACGTGCACTGCATACCGTCAGGTTCTGGTAAAGCAGATCTGTAAGTTGCTGCTCGTAGTCAAATTTAGTTTCCTATATTATTTTTTCGTGAGTTCCCATTGAAAGAAAGAGCAAAAAGAAACCGATTCAACTCCTCCGTGGTCAGTGACACAAATAATACATTTATGTGTTGAAATGTGTTTGAAAAGCTTTGAAAACATACCCACCAGTAACTATTGAACTTCTCTGGTCGTAAGAAATAAATGCTTCTGTAAAACCAAAATGTCAGTCACAGTAGACCAAATAGTGGTGTAAACTCCAAAGGAAATAATGTAGTGTTCCCAAGAGTGGGACTAGCATATCTTATACAGTAGTTTCAAACACTACCTCAGTTAGGCTAGAGTGTAAGAGATTTGTTTGAATAACTAGATGGGGTTACATCAAACAACTCCGTGTTATTTTTCTGCAGTTGAAGCAAAATAAACAAGTGTTATCACCTGTATTTAAAAAAAAAAAAAAAAAAAAGGTTAATTTGTTACCAGTTTAATCCATAGCACTTAATGTAGAAAAGGCAATAGGAAGGCCTCTGATTATTAAAAAGGTAAGCAAAAGAGATGCCAGAATACTTTAAAAAGATTCTCCATCCTGAAATGCTTATAGATTCTGACATACTCAGTTTGTGTGGGGATCCATGACAACAAAACTTGACAAACTAATTATTGCTGCAAGTTCAGTTATAAACCGTGATTTTCTTTCTAAAAGTGTATGAGTGTCAGTAGATTTCAACAAATTATGCATAATGGACGTAAAGTCCATGCTATACATAACATAAACATTTCTAGAATTAGTTTATATTAAGCTCACATTAATATTTCTTTTTAATTGGCAAGTGAAGGGGTATTATAATTGAAGGAATTTGATATTGGCCTAGTTATAAAACTGTGAATTTCTAATTTTATCAATTTCTTTTGTAAAATATCCCTTTCAAAGTTCTCATTTGGGGATTTTATTTTGCTTCATGATAAAACTTCGGGAAAAAAAAAAACAGTAATAAATAAAAAGTCTGCATACATTAAGTGTAATAGAAAATCCTCCCATTTTCCTGGAAAGGGTAGCAAGCTGATAGACCATCCATTTTCTATTTTTCCAGTCCTAACAATTTGTGATACTATTAAATAAATGGTAAAGCATATAGTACTCAGTTATACCATATGCAAATATAGTTTGTTTGCTGTGGCAAAGAAAACTCCCGAATGATTAAACATGCTAGCACAGAAAACATTCAGACAGGTCTGAGGTTAAACCCTTAGTGGGAAAATAGATGCTGGATATGAAACCAATTGAATATAGTCTACTAAATTAGCTGGCTAATTTCCTTAATCTCCTTTTTTATAGTCAGTGGAAAGGGACAGTTTCCACCAAAGGGCAGTTTAAGGCAGAAATCTAATCAAAAGAATCTGGATTATTTCCTGGAGAGCCTGTCTCTCTCCACTGAGTGTAGAAGAGGACGGAGCTGGGTGGTGTGAGTATCCTTTTTGAGAGAGAGAGAGAGAGAGAGAGAGAGACTGACTTTCAGGCATCAGAAATTCAGGGATGTTGGATGCACCTAACTCTCACTGACACCACTTGGGGTTTGTAGATGTGTTGAGGTGCCTAACTGTGAGTATGTGCTTACTTGTATGTTAGGGCTTTGGCACGTTATACGTGAAATCCTGAGTTGCTTTTCCTATCTGACTGTTCTTATTTGACTGGATTTTTTTTTTTTTTTTTAAAAACCCCCCCGAGACCCAGTACTCAAGTATTCAGTAGTTTAGTGGACAGTGGCTTGGCACACTGTGGTTAGCTACCTTTTATAAGCATTTTAAAATATCTACTTGGCCTCAATGACCATTAATAGCATTCATCTTCTTGTCATTCTACTTTAAAGCATGCGTAGTGATCCTGAAAGAAAGAATTGTAATAAGCAGTGAGAAGCTTAAGAAAACTCTTAGCACCTTTAATAGGTGCATAAAGAGAGGGAGAGCGAGCTAGTCTAGAAATATTTCAAGAGGTAGGTAATAATTAAAGCCTGGTGAGAGATGAGACAGCTGGTGGTCTTCATCTTAGTCTATGTTTTGATCTTGGTATCGGGACTTCAGGAAACTTGTGTTACCCTTGTAAAGTGAGTATAGTAAGTTCAAGATGAGAAATCTTAAAGGAAGAATTTTTGCCAGGTTTTGGAGTGTCTCCAAGGTTTCCACTCATCTCCTGGCAGGCCTGCACAGGAAGTCCTGTTAAACGGTGCTTTGCTGTGGAGGCATTTGAAAACAGGTCCCCTATTTACTGTTATATTTTTGGTTAACCTTTACTACCATGTGCTTATTAAAGGGTATACTAGATGAGAGTAAAATCTGAAGACTGTAAAAGACCTTTGGGAACATGCTAGAAACCATGTCTGTATCTTGCTAGAAGCCCTCAGCTCCTTGGGTATTTTTGTTTTGTTTGTTTAACTCCTAATTCTGGTTCCCTGGATATTTTTGTTTGCAACAGACTTATATGTTCAGCAAAGAATGTGGATTTTCTTTGGACTATTTTTGTAAAATTAGATGGATAGCAATGCCACAGCATGCAGAAATTGCACATTTTGCTTGAATTGCTTTGTAAAATACACTATTTAATTTGAGAAATGTAATTTATGCCAAAAAGTGTAACATGCCATTTTGCCACTGAATAGGTTGTTTTAGCACAAGATGCAATGTCTTAGGGGGGAAAGGCAGACGTTTTGTAGATTTAATTGAAAAACTTTTCCATTATTGGCTGTCAGAATCCCTAACGCTGCATTACAAGAGATGATGTACATTAATCTTTCTGAGGAGGGAAGGGATCGAGGTAAATCAAGACTTATTCTCCCTGCCCCACATGGTCTTTTTTTATTTAGTAATACGCTGCTACATATTTGGAGGTTCTAGTGTTTGTAGGTCACTGAACAGACATTGAAATCTGATTTATATTGTATACCTGTAACATAGAAAGAAAAAGTATTTATATATTTTCCGTAAAAATATTGCATTGAGCTGTGTATAATTTAAACAGAGGCTTGTCCCAAAATGGTATTGCCCACCTTGATTTTTTTTTTGTATAGTGTGTACAGTTCATGTCTATGGGCATTAAGCCTCCTGAAGCGTAATCTTATCAAAGGGATGCATTGTTAATAAAATGTACTTAAACTTCTTATAGTTGTTCTGTCTCATATGTACCTCTCAGCACTAGAAATGGGTTGGAATTTTATTTATATTTGTAAGTTACTAATTAACTAGAATGACCTTAAGCTTTCCAAATATTTTTTTGTCAAAAATATATTTTACATTAATACTTTGTAAGGTGTCTTGTAAAACTAGAAGGGGACTCTAATATTTTGTGCACCATTTTTATTTAAAGAATTCAGTGTACTGATACTGAAAATTAATCACTTTCCATTATGTGATGTTTACACATGTTAAGTGTTGGCATTTCAAAAGTAGATGTGAAAGCTGAATTATAAACAAAAACTGACAAAAATAAAACACACAAATTCCATTTTTGAAAACCAAACAAAGATTTGAGTTTTGAACTCATTCAACCGTAACTAATGCAAGACATGATTTAAAAAAAAAAAGTTATGTGTGGCAACACATCCCCCACCCCCTGCCAAAAATACTGTCTCTGTCTTTAGCTCTAGTTATAAGGCCCTGTCTGTACCCTTTGACTTATACGAAGGCATTATCTTCCTCAGAATTACCTGCTTGCCTGTGTGTTTTTAAGTACAGGTAGTTTCATGAAGAGCACCATCAACAAGCAGGAGGTTTTACTGATGAAGAGGGGCTAACTTCTCTTCCTGCTGTCAAGCAGGCTCTGTTTTTTGCCCGGATGTGACGTACCTGGTAAAATCTTTCCCTGCCTCCCAATGGTGAGGTTCCCCCTGTGCTGGATATGCCCAGGAGAGACAAAGGAGCTGAGCTGAAACCTCGCTGCTGGGCCAAGCGTCTCACTGAACATCAAGGAAGCACCACTGGGTACATCGCCCTCCCTGTCACGCCTTGTGCTAAGGTAGGGCAGCCAAGCCCCAGCAATTGTAGCTTAGAAGTAGGAAATCATGCTGTGGTTGCAGCCCTCCGCTCTGGCACTAAGAACTGGACCATTTTTAAAACGTGTTTCATGGGACAGGCTGACTTCTTTGATTGAGTTCTGTATCGGAATTCCTAATGTTTGTGCCTTGATTTAGGATACCTTTCAAACCTTTTTAAATGCATGGGCCTTTTTAGAATGAACAACGAGGAAGTTTTATTTCAGTAGTGACAAAACAGTTCCCTTGAAAAGGCTTACTGCTGGAGAAAAACGCTAGTATTATTTGTATTCCAATGAAATGCTTTGGAGTAGTTTCTAAGTTGTAAAGATACCACGATGTTCAGCAATCAAAAAGAAAACTTTCACATTTACTGTGACTCAAAGGAAATAAACATTAAGGGAGGAATAAAAGTTTCTCGGGGATGTTGCCATCAAATAGCAAATACTTTGCTGGTTTCTCTCAAAATGTCACCAAACGTGTTTCTTTGCTCCACTGTCTAAAGACTGAAAGAGATAACCGGTTCATTTTCTCTGTGTCTCAACTAAACCTCCGTGAGGAATCTAGACTTTGACACAGAGCAGTGGCCTTTAACCAGATACCTCTAAACACAAACCCAATAATCTGTGTATTTGTTTAATTCACCTTCATGTGCATGAACACTCCTCCTGCTACTTAAAAGGCAATGCTTTTATTATTCAAAGTCTATATAAGTTTTGATTGATTGGCTTTCCTGTGGCAGCACAGCTTGTATCCATTATGTCAATACTGATGAGCAACAGTATAACGCCTAGCTGTGGTTCAGTGCAACAATTCCTTTTTGTCTGTAGCTGCTTAGATTTTAAGTAGAGACTCTGATTACCTAAACAAGTTAAGTTGAGGTTATACAAGAGGAGACACAGTGCCATCACAGTACCTCCACAAATAACTGCCCTGCTTAAAAAAAACAGCTCCTCTTAATTTAATCCCCCACACTACTTTTTGTTTAATAAATAAATTCAAGAGGACTTGGCTTGGAATTTAAAAGGGTCGTTCTTCCAGAGGTAGGCTGAGGTGCCAGGAGCCCCAGTTACCAGAAATGGGAGTGGCAGCCTACTACCAAGGGCCTGTACTAGTAAAATGTTGTCTGCATGCGCCTTCACCTGCTGAGACCAAGCAGTACTCTGTTTTGAAATGGTGGCTTTGGCTCACTGTGGTCCCAAGCAAGTGTCATTAATATACAAGCGAGGAGAAGGCAGGGAGGGTGTAGGCTGTTGGTGCAGCAAGAGAGCCGTCTCTGCAGGATAGTGTCACTTCTAATCCTGAAGTAATGCACCATGCTGAATGCAGGTGACTCTTCCATGGTGATTCTGGGGGCAAGCACAGCACCCCCGGCTGACCTAACCTTCTGATAAATACCCCAAGGCACATGGTGATGCCAGGTACTGTCCCATGCACATTTTCACAATATATGCTGGCTAGAGCAGTAGTAAGTAAGTGCACACAGAGGAGTATTCTAAGTAAGTAAGTGAATATACACCTTGCCTGTGACAACCTATCTATCTATTATGCTTACCTGTCTGCTTGCTGAATGAGTGAGTTTTTAAACCTCTACACAGCAGGGCAGCTCTTTGTGTCAGGGTATGAAGAAGGGCTATGATCTGACCCTCTACATAATATAGGCCACAAAATATTGGCATGTAAATCTTTCTTACATCATGCCCAAACTTGTGATCAAGCACACATCATTCCAGTGCAAAAGTCAGTATTTTTAAACTACTCCTGAAGCAACAGCTTTGCAGCATTAACAGAAGTAGGGCTGATGAAAGTCTTCATCAAGAAGTCTTCATCAAAAAAGAGAAGTGATTGTGGCTTCAGAAACTCTAATTTGTATTTTGTAACCCAAACACTGCACGGATCGCCTGGTACAAGGTACATCAAAGCCTCCTCCCCAAACAGTGCACATCTGTTTGTGAAATATATCTCAAACTGCTCTTTGTGCCAGTTGATTGTCTGTGTGCTGAGACAGCATCTTCATTCAAGATATCAATGTAATACTGTGGCTGGTACAACACTGCTGACAGGTGTGGCTTGCTTGTTTCTGACGGCTCTGAGTTTTGATAGGGGTCAGACTGAACTGCAACGTGAGAAGAATAAGCAAAGTTTTCAAACCAACTGTGAGTTATAGGTTTCAGTGTGGATGCAAAGTCTCTCTCTCCATTTTGATTAGGGTAAGTCCAGGAAGAATTGTGAACATTAATCTTATCTTCTGTTGGAGTAGAAGACATGTGGCTCCACAAATGCAACTTCTGGGCTTCAGACTTATTATCCACTGCTAGAGCATCAGGAACGCAGTCACTGACTTTCAGTACTTTCTCAGAACCAATCTACAGGAGTCATAAAAGAAAATATCACTCATGAAAGAAGGTCAGGTAAAGGAAAAGGAGTAATTACTTCAAACAAACAAACAACTCTAAAATTGCATTCTAAATTTTGTAAGTAAGTAAGTAAGTAAGTTGGGAGTTTTCATATAAATGAACTGAATTTGAAGGAAAAGAACACAGAGGATGTTTGATGGAAGCTGGATTTTTATGTGGAATTTATCAAATAATTAAATTTAATCATATTAAACTTTAAAAAAAAAAAAAGATTTTACAAACTTGGCCAGGGTTTTATCTGGGCAGTTTTCAGCATCAACCAATAGCAACTGTAGAGCAGCAGAAGTTTGCAGGGTGTAAGTTTTACAAACTCTTCCTTCAGTGAATGCTAACAGCTAAACTGGCAACGTTTCCACACGCGCCAGGGTGCGAGACGCGCTCCAAGTTTTGGGACCTCTTGTGCGCTGTGTAAAGGCAGCAGCTCACCGTTTGAAGGGCCTATAGGGGAAGCTGAAGGCATTTTGCCCTCCTCTTCATCCCAGCCAGACCTGTCAGCGCCTGGCAGAGCCCCACACAAGGGCCAGAGGGTCGCTCTCGTGCGCGTTACAATAACTGACAGTGTGACAGACAAGTGAGGCAGGAGGGGCGGACAGATGCAGCTCACAGAGCACAGCAAAGTGCACAATTCTAAGGTAGAGTCTGTTGTGCTCCAAGCTCATTTTAAACAGTAATATTGGAAGAAGTAGCTGTCAACATGTATTGTCTGATTATGCTTTCACGTTTTCTTGGCAGTAACAGACACCAGAATACAAAGTGATCTCTGCAGAATCACATGAAAGGAGAGTTTTCCACAAAATGATGTCAAAGCATGATGTTAGGTTACATTTATTTCTGTATAATGAGCGCCACTCATTTTTTAAACACAGCCAGGACAGGAAAACAATTTTTTGTGAAACTTTTCTAATCAAACATTGGAAAAATTAAAAATACGAGATTTGTCCAGTGATCTCACCGTAATCTGTTTAAATGAAAGCACTTTGCTCTTGTTAGGACTAGGTATTACAGGACAGCAGCACTCCTTCACCCTGGAAGCAAGACAGCAAAACAAATGAGGTTTTTGTTCTCTCATCAAAGCATATTCTACCAGCAGAAGCAACTCACAGACCTATACAGAAACAGCAGGAGATGATGAGCGTCTGGGAAATGCCGCAAGCCAAACACCTACAACATCCACGCACTTGGACATTCGAAGGAAAAAGTGAATGAGACCTTATAACAGGCTGGAAGAGACAAGCTGCAGCTGGGGTTTGTGAATTACACTTAGTTACATTCTCTGTCTACAGGAGAGAAAAAAATGCATTATAACTTACCACTTCATCTTCCAGTGGCATAGAGCTGCTACTACCAAAGGAACAATCACTAGCAGGACTAGAAGGTACAGCACGTTTGCTGTGAAAGAAAAATACTTTAAAAATTTGTTTTCAATTTCTCACCTGTTAAAAGTCAATACAACCTGAGTTTCTGGTACAAAATGACATCCTAAAGTCTACGTGGGACACCAGCCACTAACTCAGCAGTGAAATTTTGTGATCTGTGGTTTGCAAGTAGTTGCAAAATATTTTGGCTGTAAGTTCTAGGATGCAGTTATATGTCTTTGGACATTGATTTGTCTTACAAAACTGAAATATTACTAGATTGTTTTTAAATTTGCACTCTGCTCGCATTGGCTTCTTACCTGTAAGCGAATTTTTCAAGAGTTAAGGCAGTGGAAATCTCATTTATCACTTGGGTTTAGGTTTGTCTCTACTACCAGTGTGGATGCACTGTATCAAGATAGACATTAGCAGTGTTTTTGCTCTCCTAGGATTTTATGCTGCCACAGGTATCTCAGTATTTCCTTTGGATTGGAAGATACAGCCTTGGGCTATGTTTGCATGAACAACTCAGGCTATTGCAAGCTGGTCCTGACTGAAAGAACTAGTGCTCTCCTCTCTCCCTGGCCGATTGTTCTAGCTGCTGCCTTCTGGGCGTGCGTGTCCCGCAGGGCACGGGCGCAAGTTACGTTCTCCTTTATTCTTCGCTGGGCAATTTTAGAAATGGGTCTGCCCCTGCACTGATTCCTGCGTGGCTGTACACGTGGCTGTACCTGCGCCAGGGAAGGCTGGAGTGGGAGCAGGACCACTGGCGTAAGAGGGAGAGGAGAGGCAGAACTGCCTCTGCCCGTGAGGGTTTAGAAGCAGCCCTGGTAGCTCGTGTAAAATAGGAAGTCTGTTTACACAAGCCAATACCAAACAGTGAACCGTTTCCTCCCTCTCGCCCTTTACCCCCGCTTCCAGACAATTTTTTCAAAATTAGGTATCTCCAACCTGGAGCACAAGTCTCAAAAGACTTGAGACTGCTGAGTGGTATTTTCAAGGGAACAGAATTACAGGCAAGTGATTTCCTGTTCTGCTTTGAAAATCAAATCTGCCCAGACTGCTCAAGCTAACAATCTTTTCTTATTGACTTATGAAGGAATTAACTCATTAACTGATTTAAAGAGCGATCTGAATAAATTTCAAAATCAGAAATTCAAGAATCCTGATAGAAATAATCTATTTGCACACAAGTCTAACTATTTTTATAATCAATGGAAAAATTAAATGCAAACAGAATTCTTTAATGCATTCTCGCAAACAGGACTCACTGGTCAAGCTGGTATGCGTGTATGAAGCTACTTCCAAGAAGGATATGAGATTTGCGGTTGTAAAATTCTTTTCATTTCTAAAATAAAAAGATACAGCTACTTAAAAGCATCAAACTGTTGTGTTGGTGCATGCATTTTATTTCTCAGTTGGATCATTTCTCAAAGGCACGCTACCTAGAATTAAACGTTGTCCTTTGAGAAAGGAACATTATTCTGACCTAGCATCCTCCCATCCTTTTGCCAGGAGACAAATTATCAGTGTCAATACTCACAATTAAACGGCGTTTCTATGTAAATAAAGTTAACAATGGGAGTCTCTCCTCCACCTGTATATGCTTTAACCACTAGTTTGTATTTTGTATTTGGCATGAGGTTTTTCACGGTGTATCTCTTTTCTTCCGGGTTTTCAATTCTATATTTACATAGCACTGAACCACCTAAAATGAAACCAGATGTTAGAAGTCAGTGTAACTGAGACGACTAAATCACTAAAATAACAGAACAAGTCATCTTCTTTGTAATATGTGCACTTTCTTCTGGGAAAGATGATGCATCCTGACTCATTGCCATCTGGCTAGACTCGCATGCCTTCTCACTGGACTGTCCACAGCCCAGCCCGTCCTGTGGCAGACCACCTAATAACTTCCTGTCACAAGCAGCAACTATTTATTTTCATTCACTTTTACTAGAGCTTTTTAAACATAACTGATTTGGTCTTGCCTCTTTCTTTTTCTGCAAAATCCTGTAGATCCTCAGAGATTAAGAAATCTCTGCCTGGAGAAGAAAAACAAACAAACAAACAAACAAACAAAACACCCTTGCATCTCTATTATGCAACTCCAGACCCCAGGCAGAAAAGGGTTAGCTTCTTCCTGTTCCCAGTCATTGCATCCCTTATCTGCCGGCTCAGGCAAACTGGGAAGCAGCAAATCTTTGATTTAAATGTATTAAGCCTTTCCTAACTGGGATTACTTGCAAAATTATGGTACCACTATGATTAGTTTAGTTCTGGTAAGAACTACTGCATAAGCCTCCTTCAGTTCAAACTAGACTTTTCAGCCTGGTACTAGTTTAATCAGCAAAGAGGATCTGAAACAGGACATGGCCCACTTGTGAGATGAGGCAAGGCAAAAAATACAAACCTCCCCCCTAAAACAACAAAAAACAACCAAAACTCCCCCACACCCTTGAATGTATTAGAAACACCTGAATATTTTAATGCATCAAAGTCATCTGGAGCAGTTTTGGCTGTGGAGCAGGAAAATCGGAAACAAAAGATTAAACGTGGCTTTGTGCCATACCCCAGCTTAGCTCTGCTGCACAAGAAGCTCCACCGTAGAGCACAGACACGAATATTTTCACTGTAAAGGAATTTAAATGGGGAATTTCCACAATGTTCCAATTCTGAGGCAAATAAATAAATAACATCCCATCTGTTTCTAAAAAACCCCAAATCCTAGTAAAACTGACATGCTTCCTATGAGTCTCATCCAAGTAGACCACGAACAGATGTTTTGGAAATTCATTCAGAACTCGGATTGCAAGAGGCAGAAGCTTGACTCCTCCGGCAGCCACTGCATGAATCCATTCTAGAGTTAAAGGAAGTTACGGACAACAGGACCCGAGGCTATACATCTGTATGATGCCAGGACTCCGCTTCTGCCCGATAACACATTGGACATTAGCGAAGAAGCAAAAGCAGCAGGTGTTGAAATCTGTCTCATGCCTAATGTGCCAGTTTGCCTGTCTATCATGACCTTTCCAAGAGACTGCAGCATCAGCTCCAACCACACACTGCCTTTTACCTATTACCAATGAGAGAATTTCTTAGTCAGTTACCTGGAAGAACATGTTTTTTAGATTCTTTCAAATTGCAGTCCTCTTGCACAGGAGAAACATAAACATGGTAACCTCTTACAAAACCAGGCTGTGACTCATTTGTGGGATAAGAATCCCAAGACAGCGTTACTGCGTGGAAAGTCAGCTGAACTTGTTCCACAGTAGGGTCAAGCAGGGGGGCTGGAAGAAAGAAAATTGATATTAAACTTGCCATTTTTTCCAAGAGTGTTTATCTGCTTACCTGAAACAATTCTAAATTCCCAAGTGGTACTTCAGTTTAAATTCTACTTGTATTTAAAAGCATCACACAGCCAAAGCTCTCCAAAAACCTGTCAGCTTCACAAAGCATTCATGTAGTCCACATTATACACAAAGCAATGACTGCTAATCATAGTCCTAGTTTATCTACCCTGACTAATGCAGACGCTGCCTGGTCACTGCAGTAGTTAAAACATCCTCTATGCATGTAAGCCATGTGCATTGTTTTACAACTTCTGCATGCTTCAGTGATACAGAAACAACACAGCAAACGCATCTTCAACCAGTTACAGGAAAAAGCCTGTGAAATCCCCATTTGTGACAGAACAACTTAGCAAATACACAAACCCCAAACATGTTGCCAACTTACGGAGCTCCTTGAGATAACCAGTCTTCTTCTCCAATAAGGAGGCTGTATTAGCAACAGATCCATAGATGTGGAAGTTGTATCTCACCCCCGGCACAAAAGAAACTAGAAAATAGTCGAACTGATTACAAAAATGGCTTTCTTGGGATTCTGCTTTTACTTAACTGCTTTATACAGGGAACTAGAATCCATTAGAAATCTTCCTTCCTTGAGTGTTACTGTGCTATTAAGTCAACTGAAGGGAACACAGAGTACGCCAACTCTTAGTGTACACAACGTGAATTGAAAATACTTATTCTCATCAAAACAGAGAATTGGGAAGTTTTCCTTTTTTTTTTTTTTTTTTCATTTTGGTTTGGTTTTTTTACATTTTTATTGCTCTAGAGTATTCAGACGACTGCACATTAGACTCCAAAAGCATCAAAGAGCAAGATAATTTCATTTCTGTTTCTGACATAAGCGAAGGTCATCTTTGTGGACTATTTAAGGTAGACATGCATCCATACATAAGAATTCCATGCCACCCTCACAGACATTCACTCCCAGGCACATTACCCAAGCGCAACCCATCGAGGAGCCGGACAACATTTTCTCCGATAAGGCTCTTATCGCACTCTCCTTCAGGGAGGAGGCAGGCTCCCATAAAAAAACACCCCAATGTGTTTGTATGAATTGAAGTGCAGTTTCTTTGCTGCATATCGAAATGTGTTCGGTCAGATTTTGATCAAACATATTTTATTCCAACGGGAACTCAGCTGGCAGAGACCTGGGGAAGGCTATAATCCTGCAGTTGCATAAGTGTATCAGAATGACTTTCACACAGCCAGAAAGAATTCAGGTCTAATGGCTACCACCAGGATAGAAACACACAACTGGTGCTAAGCAAGGACTGGTGCCAAGACACATTCTCTGTGGCACACTAAGAGCATTAAACCTCTCACTAAGCAGTCGGTGTTATATTGCCCGAGTCTAAACTTCTGACCTGTGCTACAGATAAGGCAGAGCTCCATTCTGCTTCTGTCTTGCTGAAAAGACTTTGAACTCCTTCATTAACTTCACTACCCTCCTTCAAGACTTTATTACAGGCTACTCAGAAGAGGTTTTGCCAAAACATTATGCCGATTTCCAAGAAACAGCCTCAGTGGTGCTGATATATGTGCGGTGTCTAATCCAGCTACTAGGCAAACCATGATGCCACCCGCTTTCAAAGAATTACAGTGTTCCACAGGATTTGTATGTTAAATTCAGTTAAGACCCAGAGCATAAGAACTATTACACAGACATCAGAAAGAAAAATTGTTCTGCTTTCACCTGAGCTGATCAGAGCACTGGAAGTGTGGGGCCCAAATCTCTTCCACTGAAGATCACAGGGCTGCGACGTTGGAAAGTTACACCAGTCGATAATGTAACCGTCATATGTATTTCTAGACTCCCAAGAAATAAAAATGCCATCATCTGTACCATTAACCCGGTCGTCTTTAAGCTCTGAACTGCTGAGCTCTTTTTCAGTGCCTATTAGTTAAAAAAAATAAAAAAATAAAAATAAAAATTATTTTGCAGTATGAGACCACTAATGCATAAATGAGGGCTGATACAGTTTCTGTGCTGAGCTGTTTAAACACTAATAAATCAGTGTGTTCCTTCATTATCAGACATACAGCTCTTTCGTAAACTGAAAGCTGATCTCTATCTATTAAGAGCTTGATTGCTCAAAACCACCCAGTAGTTATAGTACCATGCATTTGTACAAAGAACTGAACCACAGAAAACCGGAGCCATAAACAGTAAGCCACAAGAGGCTAATCACGTGCAGAGATCCACGAAGTCATTGGCTGCATCTATGGCACTTGCTGCAGGACTGAGGCCTAGCGTAAGGCTACGTGTGTTTTGAGCTACGCAGATTTCCTGTGGACTTTCTGCTGAGATGGACTGATCAAGGCACCTCAGCTTAATTTACAAACAGATACCACCTTATAGGCCAAAATACGGTAACACATTTCCAAATAGCAAGGATTTTAGTTACAATATATTCTCCCACAATGATAAATTATCACTTCACATAAAATAAGAGGAAACAAAACTCTTGCAATGGAACGCTAAGTTTAGCTGAAAGTACTGCTACTGTTACCTGTAGCTCCAGGGATGATCACTACTGAAGGAAGTGAATAATTAACATTGTTCTTTGCCACGATACTGATTTTGTAAGGACAGTTATCAATGGAAATCCTTGTGCTATTATAGACTGATGAAACGGAGATGTGTTCAGGCTTAGAGTCCCCTTCTACTTTCTCCCAGGTTATTTCATAGGAAACACTTCTTCCATTTGCTCGAAAACTTGGTGCTAGCTGGAGGAAAAGTTATGTATGTAGTAGAAAATTTTAACACCAATTACTTAGTAAATTTTGCTGTAATAAAACAGTTTACTTCTGTAATGACACAAGCACTTGTTTGGATACATGCAGACAAACACTGGTTGAAATGGAAACGTACAAATCTCAGTAAAGGCATCTGTCTTGTTGCCATGTTTGGAAAACCATACATACACATGTCCGAATGCCAGGAAAGCACACCATCATACAGCTACATATGTTCTGAAATATGCTACAGATAATACTTGTGTTAGATTCTTAAAAGACATTCCCATACGGAATTGCTATTAAGTCCCTTTCGGGACTTACACACGCAGACTCGTCAGAGTTTTTGGGAGAAGTTTCCAACTCCTTCATGTAGAGTTTCATTATTGTTTCTGTACCCATGTCTCACCTTCCAGAATAAGGTCACATTCCGCCCTCCCAAAACTGGTGTAATTTCTCTCCAGATGTCCAGTTTCCCCGATGGAGCTGCAATAAACACAGCAAAACAAGATGTTCTAGGTGCAGAAAGGATAATCAGTTTGTTTCCTTCTCTTTGAAGGGATCCAGCTGCCTAAATCTCTCTTTCTGCATGTCCCCCCAGGTCTTGCCAAAATTTTATCCTTTAATTTCTTGCTGTCTTCATTCTTCCAAATGAACGAATGTTTGGCTCATTTCCCTAGAAAACCTTTCTCTGCTTGTAGTTCCCAGGTCCTTGCTCTCACCTCTGCACAATTTCTCCAGCCCAGATCTCCCACCGCCTGCACTGGATGAAGTGCCAGAGACTGGCATGTAGGGTGAGAACTGATTAAGCAGCTTCCTTCCTAAACTTTGCTTAGGGTGCTTCTACTTTTATGCGCGCAACAGGCCTTTGCAAATAGTGAACACAGGTGGCAATCAAGGAACAGCCTGCAGCTGTCCCTTCCCAATAGACCAGACATACTTGCTTCCTCTGTTCTGATGGTTCGGGCTTCGCTCCATTCACTCCACCTCCAGAAGTGCTTAGCTGCCCCACAGCGTACTCTAACTGTATATTCGGTGTACGGCTGCAGTCCACCCAGAGTGATGCTGGCATACTGGAGTTGCACACCTGAACTATTATGCTGCGGAACAGAACAACAGAGCAGAATAAGAGTTTGGATCAGTTTTACGAGAAAGAGGTTTTTGTCTACGGAACTAGTCTTGCCTCTAGATCCTATGAACAGCAGGTTAAGCTCAACAAGGAAACATGATTACGGAACAACGGTCAAGAAAAAAAAAGATATGGCAAAAGATCGAAAGACTGGGAGGCCCAAAAAGAGGTGTGCAAGCCTTCTTTGTGTAACGGTCTAAGTAGAAGTCCTTCGCAATAGTCTGTAAAATGACCGCTCTTTACAGCGAGGCAGAGGGAATTTGCTGAGACCTTATCCTCACCCTGCCTGGTCTCTTACTCAGTTCACATAAGCAGGAAGTTGTTCTAGACGTACGCACAGTACCTGCTGCTGCTGCTGCTTTTCTTTACATTTTTTCCCGGTCTTCCCCGCCCCTTCCTCCTAAGGGTCAGTGAGTTCTGGCAAGAGTCGAAAAGTGAGCATGCTAACGGTCTGCTGCAAAGGCCAACTGCAGCAGTTAGATCAAATGATCTAACAGTTCTTAGGTGATACTGGAGGCAGAACACAGGTTGCTCCTGATCTTTATAATGTCTTTTAATATGCTAAAGCCAAGCTACCTTTGTAAGAAGAGGGCTGAAGGGAAATCACAATACCTGTGCAAACAGCTGATCAACCTCACTGTCTGTGAAAGAAGCGGAGCAAGATGAGGACTCTATTGAAACAGGCTTCTTCAAGCAGGTGGAGAAGGACAGAAAGAAAAACTCCACTGTGGTCCATTACTAGGAACCAGACAGGCTATTGCCATGTATAGTCAATGGCACCCAGAAAGATCCTGGGCTAGCAGCAGCAAAGTCTGCTCCTTCAACACACCTCTTTACCACTTGTTTATAAGGTGATACGAGTTATAACAATATGAGCAACTAAAACTGGCAATAGCTACAATAACAGCAATTAAAAGGTCCATTCATATTTTCATCTACTTCAACAAACCTCAGTCTGTTCAGCAAAGGACATCATTACACACGCAGAGCAGTTAGGTTAATACCTCAGCCAGCAGTGCAGGAAGCGCTAGCACTAATTCATACTCAGGACAAGCGGTGCCCATGTGGAAGACACCATCAGTGGAGACAGAGCTTGGGAGCTCTTATCCAGAAAACAGAGGCTTCTGCACCCTCCCAAGAGGTAGTACATTCAGATGGCTGGGGAAATATGTTTAATTCCAAGTCAAAAAGATATTTACTATGCTTCTGTGTATGAAATTCAGGTTTCATACCAGTTCTGCCTTCCCATCAGGGTGGAGCACTTCTGTCTGGCAAAAGAGTTCAAATCCTTTGTTTCGATATTTCCAATACAATGTGATTTCTGTATCCGTACATTCTTCCCACAGCTGGAAAGGCACAGAGGGATAAACTGCCAACGGAAAATACAGGTTGGTTCTTGTAAAACATACAATAAATGCAATATTTTAAGGTATTTTAGTTGAGGAGTAAAAGTAAGAAAGAAACATAGTCTAAGATTTTTCTGCCTGCCTAGGAGAGGTAGACATAAATCAGTAAAAATTGATTTCAGAACGTAAACATATCCTTGTAAGTAAACGTCATTCAAGCTTAAAACAAAACAAAATAAAACTTGCACTGACTTGGGGATATTTTGGAACATCATAAGCAAAAGACAGTCAGACTTTTACTGCAAATCCAACAGAATTCTCCTCCCAGGGTCTGGGCAAGGGCTTGGACACAGCACAGTGAGTAACATTTGACTTCACTGCTATGTAAGCGGTACTAAGGGAGAGCAGCAGTTTTCAAACCTTCCCAGACCATCAGCTCAACCACAAGAAATGAGACATGGCAATAGGAGTGCATAAGTTTACAGCTGTGGGCCATTATGCTAGAACTTCACGGAGCATAAATTACAATTTGAGGCCTTCCAGACTCAAAGGAGTTCATGCTTGACCCAGAACCTCCCTGCTGTCACATGCAGAACTGGTATTTAGTTGTTGACATCTTTTAAATAGGCAAAATTCTGCAGTAAATATTTCCAGGATCAGAGAAAACATAAAGGACTTGACTGCAATCACTACTTAAAAGGTTAACTCATCATAAATATCATACATCTTTTCTGTAACTTGTAACAATCACTAGAACTGGAAAAAGAAAACTGTAGTAGAACTGTAGTGTTATCTACTTTAGCCTGATTCCCCATGAAAATTGAATTTATAATATTGTGTCGTCTCACTACAATCTGCCAGTTTACTCTTCTGCTTTCTTCCTGCTCCCTTTCCTTCTCCCCCAAAGAATCAAACTATCAGCTTTTAGAACTCATAGGCCACTTGGAGCCAAATTTAACAGAGACAGACATGTAAGATATTATGCTCGCACAAGCCATATGAATAACAGCGCCTAGTGAAACTCTGATGAAGGAAGTGCTGCCAGAACCCAAGAGTTACTCCATCAGACTCTGGTCCATCAGCTCATCAGCTTCAGAACCAAAGCCATGAACATGCTGCCTCTGACTTCCTCAAACAGGTAAGGGTACAAAAGGGCCTTGAGAATACTGTGAGGTGGATGTGGTGGGGCCAGAGGACACAAGAAGAACTGGAAATACTGCTGCAGACATAGGAAAGACCCAGGTGTTTTGAGGTGGGGAAGATCATGGGGAACTTGGGGAACCTGGGGCCTCGGTGTTGGGGCACACTGTGACAAAGGACACAAACGAACAGGGGAAAAAGGAACTAACAAGCATTAGTTACTGCTTACAGAGTAACTTGTATGGGAAGCAGCACGATACTATGAACCATCTTCAGCAAAGTGATAGACTGCGAAGCCAGAAGGGGTCATTTCAATAACTAAAATTTGACCTTTGGAACGACCATTAGCAGAACTTTTGCAAAGCTGAAACTGAAGAGACAGCAGATAACTACAACACAGGGAAAGGTAGCTAACAGAAACCGAGAAGGTAAAAATCATGGACTTCTATACTTAAACCCGCATCCAAGTATTAAGAGAAGCAAGAGGATAGGGCCTTAAAATAAAGAAACAGAAAAGGCCTTACTTCTGTGAGTGACATCAAAAACATCCATGGCAGTTTTCTTTCTCAGTGGGTTTTCAACAGTCAGTGTGATATTATAGACCCTCTGCTGGTTTATATCCCAAGAACACGAGCACTGCTCAGAACAACTTACTGTGCACGGAATCAAGTTTTGGGAAAACCTATCAAAGAAGAGGGGGTGGGGGGGGAAAGAAAGACATTTTTCCATAACGTAGAATCAAGACAGATGTTGAAATTGCGGACGCTCAACCAGAATATAGCATCATGGAAAATGAGGCTGAAGAGGACTGTGAGAAGCCACCTAGTTCTTTCCCCTAGCCCAACATAGGATTAATGTAAGTATTCTTACAATTAGAAGGAAGTGTTCTTTCTTCTTACTTGTTATCCTTTTGGGAAACAGCTAAACGGCTTTCAGGGGTTTCATCATGGATTTACAGCTTTCTAAATTACGGATTTGATTTGCCAAGAATTAAACCATTCACACGTCTACCGTTAAGCCTTTAAATAAAACAGTAATTTAAATGCATCTTTTTTTTTTTCTTAATCGTTATCACAACATTTTAAAAGAAGTGAATGACGCAGAGACCATGAAGGTACTATGCAATGATGACCTGTCTTCTGCTGAGACCTGCTGACAAAAGTTTGTTATGATGATATGAGGCTTCTGCCCTCTTTTATGCGTTCCCCTTTAACACCCTTTCTCTGCAGCCCTTGCTGCAAGGTCCCACTCCTCTCATAGGGGTTTAGCTGCCTGTATCAGCTCTCACATGCCACAGCTGCATAACCTTGACCCACACTGCTGAGAAAGAGCTGTGAGAAAGTCTGCAGAGAGATAAGAAAAGGTAAAATCATAGACAGAAGTAGCATTGTTGAGATGGGATTGTTGGTAGCTCAAGGATTCAAGAAGGAAAACACTAGCATGGAAAGTCATAAAATCCTAAAGGTAAAGAACCAGGGAAACTAGCCAGGCTAACTGGGAATCATCGGTTTTAGTCCACAGCACCATCATCAGTGTTGATGCGTTGTGAAAACACACTAATACTTGGCTTAAGAGCTCATATTAAATACTAGTTATCTTTTGTTTATGCTACCCAATAAATAACTACTTTATACTTCTAAGTTACGTATATCCTGCTTCCAGAGTGTCTTCATGCCTCGCTAAGGATACCCAAACTGACCAAAAGGAAGTGTTATAACACCCTGAATCAAGCAGAGGCTGATCTGATGGACCCGCAACTTTGTTGCAGCTAGTCAGAGTTATATCAGAGCAGTTATAATTCAGAGCAGTTCTGTACTTCTCAACTTTTAATAAAAGTGCTGATCAATGAGCTGGAAAGAGGCAGGCAGCTAATTGCAACGTGGATTAAAAAAAACATTTCCACAGATTTTAAAGAACAGAAAGAACTTGACTGTTGTTCTGTACAGCACAGACCAGAGTTAATATAACTATGAGAAGACTTACTCTTCAAACAAAGTGTATTTTGTTGAATGACGTCCATAGAGGTAAGTGTCTCCTCCTCGGCTCCAAGTACATATTACTGTTTTCATGTCTTGAGTTTGGCAGGAAAAATCATTAGGTGTATCAGGCGGTTCTTGTCGGGGGGGGGAAACAACAAAAAGCCAACAGCATGGCAGTTAAGGCAAACATCATCGATACTCTTACTATATTAACAAACTACAAACAATCAATGTGGACAAAGCCTGGTTTACCACAGATGTTATTATTTCAACGGTACTTATTCAATGACCACTCCATAGAGGAAATCAGAACCAAACCATAAGTTAATTGCATTCCAAACTCTTCTGTAGCTAATTACTTTTTGTTAAGTTAATAGACTAATTTATCTGTATGGTTTTCTACACATAAAACTTACTCCCATGCTCGGAAGCGGGGGCTGTGTTGCGTTTTACTACCTGCACACAGACAATTAAGCTGGACTCCTAAACAGGTATATTTATTAAATCACTCACTCGTTCAGATTCATTTTGTGAATTCATCCCATGACATGTTTAAAAAGACAAGTTCTATTCTGTAATGTTTTCTACATGCAAGTGAATTTACAGAGCTAAAGTCAGACATCCAGCAGAGCTCAGCTTGACATAACAGGACAGTGCCAACTTACAACAAGTTTTTTGTCCCTCCCCCCCCCCCCCCCCCCCCCCCCCCAAAGTCATTCTTGACTTAATAGCAACAGGAAAAGAGAACTGAACTAAAGCATGCACTTACTACCCACAAAGAAAACTGTACGACTGTAGCATTTCTCTTTTTCCTCTTCTTTGCAAGACGCCTGACAGTACACTGTGATTTGAGGCACTTCTTGATGTGCCACATTTTTCACAGTGAGCAGTCCAATTTGACTGTTTGTGCGACTGAAATTATGAGCAGTTGGAGATAAAAAGAACTCCTTAATGATTTGACCTTTCCTTCCGATGCAGCAAAGAGTGATGTCAAAGCCTTCCTCTACAACTTTTTCATCTGGAAAGATCTGTAGTCCACCGTTATTTGAAGCGTCCAGGCCTGCAAATTAACACACAATACAGCATTTCAAAATCTGCTCAGGGTGGGATTTCAATCTAACTACATAACTGAGCATTTACACATGCATCTGCTCATGTTATATTATCCATTCATGCACTTTCATATAGTATTCTTCTCCATGCAGGGATCAGTTAGATATGTAAGCATACCTAAATTTATGTTAAACCCATTCACGTACAACGTAGTCCAACAAACTATCTGACAGAGTCCTAAATACAGCTCACTGCCTTTTACTTAGGGGAAACAAAGAGTGTGCGTTCAAGAACTGCCCTTACAGATGAATACTGCCTCCTGCACCTGTGAACAGCCTGAAGCTTACAGCCAAAATACCTGCTCTTGCAGACTTTGAGCAGGGGACTGGAAATAGGCTGTGTTCTGAACGTGTCAGAGCCCGGCTAAGAGGAGTGAACATTGTATGAACCAGGAAACTCAAACTGGAATGATATTTCTGTGGCTTTCAATGTTGGACTCTCTCCTCGATGTAAAAACAAAAGTGGGATTTAAGAGACTCACAGGCTTTTGGATAGGTTGGAGATAAAATACAGCCTGAAGGATGGATTCATTACCTTTCAGAGAGCTCTGAATCAGGTCTGTAATGTGGGATCAGTTGGTGACAAGTGAACAGTGTTTTTGATCCCTATCCAATCTCAATTAAAAAATAAGATTTCCAGGATTGACGTTAGTGAGACTGAAAGGGGAGTCTTGCATTCCATCTCCCATCATACAAAGTGCAGAGTAGGGCAATTTATGCGCCACAGTCCAAGTATACACACCTGTGCTTCTTTTACTACCTCAAACTGTTGCCAATCCAAACAAGAATAATGCTCCTTTACAAAATCATTGCAACCATTTTTTGCTGAAGCACAGTTATGCATTTTGTTTAAATGACTTAAATTCCCTGGAAAACAAGCTGTTCTAGTAAGACATGTTGTAATACGAAAGAAAACTGTTTCTTGCTGTATCATTTGATTACCTTATTATTCCACCCCTGTATGCTCTCATATAACTCACAGAAGTTCATTCCAAGTGACATAAGCAGCTGACTTGCTCCTCCCTCTCTGCTTCTTTGATACTAAGCAGAGCTATGATCCCAAGACAAAAGAAACATTCAAGCATCAGATGATGCATCCACAGCTGCGCATTTCCTCTCCTCACCCCAGTCTGACCCAGTGATAACCATGGCTACATCCAAGGCCCCTGCCTTGGGGAAAAGTGCAAGTCAAGTGAGCAGGCCAAAGCAGCCTTCAGACTTGCACCGTTCGATGTGATATCAAAAGAGATTCCACAGAATACAAAAAAAAAAATAAAAATCTACGCAAATCCAAGTTCCCATACCACTCAATGTACTGCGTTATTTTAATGTGTGAGCAAGAAAAGCTCTAAAACTTCTCACCTACTATCTGAGAATGACAGTCTGCAAACCAAGACAAAAGCTGAAGTATTACTATTACTGCCCGCAGAAAAGAGTTGGTCAGTGCTTACAGATGAAATGGTCCAAAAGAAATTATTGATTTGGTGTTCTCTCTCCTGAATTGATCACTATCATTAAAATCATCAGCAAATTAAAATCTAGCATTGTCCTTGAAAAAATAAAACCAATATTGCAAAGTCTTATTTTGCTCACCCAGGACAGTCTCCCACAGACTCCACTGACTCCAGATTTTTGATGTTTCTGCTTTACTCCTGATTCTCACCGAGTGTGACATACACTCCAAAGGTAAGTCCGAATCCCAGTTCCAATGAAGAGGCTCTCCTGATTTGTCAAGTGTGACATTATGAAACTCCTATAAACAAGGGCCAGTCAGGCAGAGTATGAAAATCACAGCAATGCGTAGATACTTACTTTGGAATTAGTCAAACACAGAGAGAGAGAAAGCAAGCTCAAAGGAAGAAAACGCTTTTGAAAACATCAGTCTTTGAAATCCATGCTGCCACATGTGATCTCATATTCTCAGAGGTCTAAGAAACTGCTTACAAAACTGCACCAGCAATGGTGTAGTGACTGACATGCTGGTGAGACTACGTGATGATAACAACATAACTGGGCGTCAGGCCTTGCTTCTCGAGAACCGGACTCACTTTCAGTAGGTTACTCATGCCTGCTGTTAACAGCAGTCTGCATATACATGCTGCTGTCTGGAGGTGCACCTTGTCTAACGCTCTGGGTTACGTATCTCTGGTGCCGGCACGCATCTGCATTGACCAAGGAATTACACAGATATTACCTCATTGTAGTTCTGAGGCACAGAGGCTGCCGACAGTACCACCAGCGAAAAGCAGAAGAAGAAAGTACCTGCTGGTTTCCCCAAAATGCTTCACTGTATTAATATGCATATGCAAGAAACATGAAAAAATATTCAAGCACGTTAGAGATCCAGAAAGCTAATAGGAGAAGAACAGCCTAAAGTATAAAATGGAATTGAAAAACTGCTGAGTGCAGAACGCTCTGTAATTTGGGAAATGTTTTTATATTGAGTTATATCAATGCAGACAAAGAGCAAAAAAAGTAAATGCTCTGCTGTGCTCTTAGAGAAAATACCTTGCAAATCCCTCTCAGCACGTAGCTGCTCAGGCCTATGGTTCAATGGGCTGTACTAATACTCAGCCCTGCAACTTAGACGAACAAGGGCACCAAACAGTCGCACAGATATGGATGAAAAGGTAGCCCAAGTGTGAATCTTTCCTGGCATGAAAGCCCATAAGAAGCAGGAAGAAAGGGCTCAAGACATTTATATTAATGGCCTGTAATTAAAAATACATTTCAGAACAGAGTAAAAATGCAGTACTTCTAAAAGCAACTGTGCCAGATTCTCAGAATGGAGATCAATGATGCTCCAGTGAGCTGTACCAGAGCTCTGGCTCACACTGACAACTACGATTCTGCTCTCCATTACTGCTTTCCACCAGCAACATCTGCGCTTTCATAATAGCATTACTCTGAGAGACATTCTGCAATCATTTCACAATTTAACTTCTGAATTATAGCACTGAGGAATTTATCTGCTGCTTTCAAAGTCACATAGACTGTACATGCTTTGGCGTGAGCAGATTCAGAGTTTTGTTATTGGTATACATTCTTAACAATAACACAGAAACAAACGCATTCCCGTGTGGCAGTGACATCCAAAATATCCTATTTATTTTCCAAGTCGTGTTTATTATGAGTACCAGCACAGACTATGTCCTTGGATTGCATAGCTCTTTCTTTCTTCCTGCAAATTAACAGAGTTTGTTCGAAGAGCACTCCGAACAACCATGTGATTGTTCGGAGCTACGTGACCCCATTTTCCAATTTCAGGGTTAGATCTATTCACGAGGTGTTAGAAATCCTACCCCTTCTATCAAGGTGGCCAAAATCTTCTGAACTACATACAGCTCTTCTGCAGTGAAGCTGAGGATCTTCAAACTCAGAGAGACTAAATACTGCTAACTGGCTGATTAGCAGTAAGGACTCTTTTAAACACTGTCCGTCTTATTTTCTTGACTCTTGTTGGTTTCAGGGGGAAAAAAAAAAAAGCCCTTCTCTGCTTTATATTCCTCCTCACAAATAGCACCTTTAAATGAGTTATAACAGTTCTCCAATTTTACTAGGTTTTAACATATGTATTTAATATTCTTCCACAGTTAGATCAGCAGATGACTCATAAAAAGTTGCAATATCCATAAAGCCTGCATTTAATTCCCCAAAGATTTTGTCAGATCCAAAGGAGAGGAAAAATTTCTTGTGATACAGCAGTTCTCACAGTAAAGTCACGGACTGGTGAAAAAAATCAGGAGAAGGCTTAAGCCAAAAGAATTTGGGTGTTCATATCTTCACCTCTCGAGAAAATCTGGCTGGTTCAGGTGATAAGGAGGGCTGAGACTTGCCAGAAGAGACACCACTACCTTCTTCCCTAAGCACTGGATATAAGGTGATTGCTAGCAGGGCCAAGCCCAGGCCTTATACAGCCTGGCTCACATTGAGACTATCCTGTTTGCTTCCTAAGACGAGAAGGGTTGCAACAACACATGACTCATGCTCAATTAGACACTAGTGAGGGGTAGTAACCATGCCACAAAAGGATAACTACTTGTCTGCATTAGGAGCAAAGGAGGAATTTTTCTGGGATGCTCCTCAGGGAACCCGCACCTTTGAAGGGGAATGGAGGCCTTTAAATTCAGATCTCCTAAGTCTGCCCACCACAGTCCCTGAATAAGGATATACAAGGCATATCTACACTCTGCAGAGGCAAAAATGACTTCCTCATCTGAGCCAATGTTTTGTTTTCACAAAAACTGGGCAAAACATTAGGCCAAGCCTGGCACCTAGTGAAATATGGAGGTATTTCTATTACAGCTTTGAATATACTATGCTATAAATGGTAAAACTATACAACAGAGCAACCTGTATATGCATCTGAACGCTTGATTTTCCTTCAGATTCATCTATATTGCAGACATCTAAAATACCCTTTTTTTTTTTGTTTAAATACACTTACTGTCCACACAATAGTATTTTCTTCTGTTCGGCTGACTTGTATTTCAAAAGACATCGAAAGCTCAGCATCATGCGCTGACTTGCCGACATCCCATTCCACCAGCAGACGCTGAAGAGGCAAATCTTTGGAAACACTAAGGTACGTTACTGGAAACACAAGGGATTCTAGAAGCAGAAAAAAAGGATACAAAAATATTAATAGTTGTGTAAGCTTCAATCCTTCAAGTGTGTTTAAGCCACAACAGACCAACATTGCATGCCAGTTTTCTCAAGGGAGTCATTAGTCAAGGCAGTGGAGCAAGCACTATGACATGCTAGACTCCGCTCCCATCTCTGACACTGACTCCCTCACAGTCCAACAGAGAGAGCAAAGGAGAGTTCTGAAGAAAAACCCAGACCCTAAAGGAAAAACACTGTAATCCCATTATCATAAGCAAAAATTAAATTAAGCCATTGCTAAGTACCTTCCCAAAGCCCACTCGGATTGTGCATCTTTCCCAGGTTATGCAGGGTGTGGGTCCTTTTGAGTATATACGTTATGTTTACCATATTGATAAGGCAGATATGATAAAACAGTGCTTAGAAACAAAATAGGTTCCACACCTATTAATTGAGTTAATGAAAGCTGGGTATTTGAAAAGGAAAGATAAAAGAGTTTCCCTTCACTAGCTAGCTCAGACCACAGTCTGAGCTGTGGCACATTACTGGTTGCTCTACACAGAGCTTAGGTCCTTAAATCAGGGCTGTGGATTCTTCTACTGGAATCAGACACCTACCTATAATGGCACTTCCATCGCTTTGTGAGCCTAGGTTTAATCCATCAGTCAGACTAAACTCCCGGCTGGCGTTAGGAAAAGAAAGGTTCCATCCTCAAAAGATTTCTTTTAGAAGAGAAGAAATAGGGCACTCACTGACTTATATCTTCTCCTCTTCCTGAAAAAAACATGCCAAGCTTGATCTGGTTGTTAATGAAGCTAAAGAACTGAAATGTCCAAGTCACCAAGTTTTTTCTTTTGCCACAGTTGCTTTCCACGTTGTTTCTGCTTGTTATAAATGAAGGGGTCACGATGTTGATACTGACCAGGACACAGTACAGAAATCACAGAAGTAGCTGTATGTTTTAATAATGTAACTCATTCTGGGCATTCCCACTCCTTGCAGTCACAGTCCTCACAGCCAGCCTGGTCTGAGACACCTGAGCCAGCTCCTCCTTATAACTCCTCCACCTACAGTCATTTCTCACATATGTGCTTCACCCTCTGGCCTAATGATGATCTGAGACATTTAGAGAATGTTAAGGGCAAGAATGCAAGCATTCAGGAAATTTAGTCATTATGAGGTTTGGACATGCGCTGAGTACCTATATTTTGATATTGCTACCGGGGCAGCTGCTTGGACACCCAAACCCTTTTGTAATTTATCCTGCGGCACCTGCTTTGCGCTAGCATCTGTGCGGCAGTTTCTCGACGCGTGAATCTTTACATTGGCTGTAAGAAATGAAAGGCTCAAGAAAGCACAATCTCTGATCAGTCAGGGAAAGGAAAGAATACTTTACAAGCAAGTTTATTAATTATGAGAATACAGACACTGAAACCACTGAGTTGTTCATACAAGTCCAGATTGTAATTAAAGAATAAGTGGAAGAAAACTTATGTTGTACCATAGCTAACAACTTAGAAACAATACTTTCTTCTAGAGTATTTTTAGCTTTTAGCAAGTCATCTTCGATCTGTATCTTTTTAATCCATTCTATTCTGCAAGGTACTGAAAGACAAAGCAAAATGAAAACCGTATGTTTTCAATCTAGAGGAAACTACTACACCTACAAGCCATCTACAAAAGGCTTTTTCAGATGTACTTGGAGGAAGGAATCAAGGTTTCATCCTTCAGGCAATTACTCTCAGAAACAGTTGCTTGTATCCTAGAAAGTCTTGGAGGAAGAAGTATACATACACATGCATGCACACATATCTTCCTCTTCTATCAATTCTGACTTCAGCCTTAACGCTTAATTATTGGAGAAACATTTGTGAATACATGATAGCAGGATTTGGGAGAATTAGTGTCTCTTGTAAAGGAAATGTAAAGATGTTTCATATGCAGAAGTAAAATTGCCTGTTTGGCCTTGTTAATAACACGGTCCTTAAAAACAGATCTGCTGCTTAACAGTTGCTTTTGAACAGCAAAGATTAAAAAAACACTGGCCATCAGTTTTACGTTACCTTGGGGAAACCGAGCACTTACGGCAACTAGTTCACGTCTAGCATTGAATAAATAAAATGGAAGCCCTGAGAGTGAACTTCACTTGCCTAAATGATGAGGGAGCAGCACTTTTAGGTCTTCCTGGAAAACAGAACTATTGTTAGCTCCACTGCCAAGGACTGACCAGACAGAGAGCCAGAGCAACCAATGCAATGAAGTGAGCCACAAAACTAACTGAGGAAGGAAAGGATCTTATGATATTTTGGGAACATATGACAAGACACACTTCATCTCCCATACTCCACAGGCTTTGACCATCAAAACAAGATAACCAGCTTCTAGTGCCTGAGATCTCACTGCTGTGCAAGAACTTACCAGGTACTAATCCGCTAGCGACAGTCATGGTAGCAAGCGTAAAGATGGTGTTTGGCTGTTAAAATCCCACGTATGCTAAGGAATCCACTGTAAAGTTATTCTTCTTCAGTATACAGTCCTGGCTTGCTCGTTCTTTGGTCAGCCTGTACCTACATCACCCTGTTATCTGAAGCGCTATGTACGAAGCCTATGAGGGGATCTCATTCCGTGTACACAAAATGTGGCTGATCTCAGGCTCTGGGACCTTACCGTTCCTGTTTTTAACTTCTGCAATGCTGAAGCAGCTGGATGGAAACAGATGAGCCCAACACAAAGAAACAAACCTAAAGGAAGGGATCTGGCAAGTCTCGCTGTGAAAATCAGAGGCGCAAAGCAACTCTCCGGGAAACCTAACAAATACACCAGGAAACAAAAGCCAGCTAGTTTGCAGAAACCTTTCCTATGGCCAGATGGGAAAACAGGCTGTTGGTGAGCAAACACTCTGTGAGTGACCCTCCTTCTCTTTACCACTCCCTGTGGCCTCTCATATCCTCCTCATAAGGGGAACGGTTTGGTTTCCCAATCAGAATGAACCCGAACCTCACAGATAGATCTAGCATCATCTATACAGAAACTGTCGCCCTCCTGAATCCTCATTACTCCTCAGCAGTGAGAACAGAAAGAGTAAGAAAAGGACTCATTTTAGATATTCTTGGAAGGCAAAAAGTTGTAAAATTGTTTTAAATCTCTCATCTGCTTTGTGAGATTCACCAGAGGCAAGTCAGAAACTGCTGTTCAGTCATACAGACTGGACAGGCAGCCAAAACAGAAACTGAAGAGCACCCCAAGAAAGTGTCCCAGAGGGCTCCACCCCTGCGTACATTGTTAGGGAGAAGCTGTCTACAACATCTGTTTATCATTAAGCCAGATGACAACATGGGATGACAACATGCTGCATGACTTGATGTTACTCCCATTGACCATGCCTTTAGCATGTTAATACAAACTAACAAGTCTTCCAAACTGAAATACAGAGGATTTGGTTGACCAGGACAGTACTAGTACAGTACCTGCCTGCCATATTTTACATTTTGCTGGGGTTTTTTTGCTTCCCAGTTTTTAAATACAGATTTTTTTTTTCTTTTTAATTCTGAGTTTTCAGGGCTTCCAAGTACCCAGAAATACAATCCACAGCTTTAACAATTGAACTTACTAGCTAAACTTGGGAGGCTAAAGCTGAACACTTACTTGTAGCTAGGTTCAAGCATGGAAGTCAGATTTTTCAAAGCTCCTTTATAGAATACCAAAGCCAGAACGCTTAGATGCCCTACAGTTCTGACAGGCTGGCAACGGGCATGCCTAAACACATGATAAATTGGTTTGGACAACAGTTTGAAGAAGACCTATGTAATTTTCCAGACTTGACCTTTAAGCCGAGTATGCTACTGATATAATAGGCTTGTCAAAGAGAAAAATATGATACCTTATAGCTGTTCTCTAATAAGGTTTAGAAATCCAGGTTTTGATAAAATTACTATGGTTGCTTCATACAGAACTAAATCATGTCTCTTTTATGACAGTTTAAAAACTTTTTCTTCCAGAGAACTCAAATTTTTGTGGGCGCTATGAGGAGGTAGGTAGGCTGTGCAATTGAAACCTTACAGACTTGCGTAATCTGCCCATGTAAATGAGCTAAAGCTGCAACATGCAACCCTCTCTTCTCCCCAGAAACATAAACAAATTGCTCTTTAGGTATAACTGACTCTCTGTACTTAGAGACCCTCCTTCCCACGCCAAGTCCAAAACCTCACATCAGGCAGCCCTAATACCTCTTAAAATAATCACCCCTGTCTGCGCTACAGTTCCTTCATGACAAATCTCCTGAGTCTGAGACAGAAAGAGACTGCCTTTCTTCAGTGCAGGGAGAAACTCAAGCCTCAGTCTTGCCATAGTAAAGTGGCTCAGCACTTCCTTCTAGTAGATATAACTCTAAGCTGAGAGTTAACAAGTTACACAACACAGAGGGCAAGTCTGCCTGCTTTGAGAAACACAGCTGGAGAAAAGTAGAAAAAGAGCTCCTGTCCATTTGACAGTGCTGCTATGAAGATATATTAAACAACGTATGGTAGCATAAAAACAGGCAGAAGAAAAGTTACTGTATGCTAGCTCAACTATTAGCTAATGAAACTACAGGTTAGTTGTAAAAGATTCTAAAAGTACTAAATCTTGCATGGTTCCCTCACACCTCTACTTGCTCCTTCAGGGTGCATCATTAAAGGAAATCCCTGCTTATCTTCCAAATTTTCCTGATCCCCTTTTCTTCTCCTTCCCCAGGCAATTCTATTTGCAAGTGTCCCTACCATGTCTATTGTAACGATGAGCTTGCCTCCCTCTTTTATATTCTTCTCTCAAGTTTATGCTCTTCAGAGCCTGGCATAATAAAGTCCAGAGCACTCATCAGGGCCTATAGACATTACCACAGTACCAAAAAAAAAAAAAAAAAACAGAAGAAACAATATAACTAAGGACTCTTCTAGAGGCCAAGACCCTGAAAATCACTGAGGAATTTAAAGAGTTTTGCAGTATAATTTACATATGTAGAAACGTTTGTGGCGTTCACGGTTATAATCTATAGCTTCAGCTCCTAGGAAAGTTAAATAACTATGGCATCTTAAGGCTTGCTTTAACTTGAAAGTTAACTCAAACTAAATGAATAGCTTTTTGATTAACAACAGAGAGTAACTTTATCCCTCAACAACTGCATGTGAAAACAAGTGACAAAGTTACTGTATTGCAGCAACTGTTTGGACTTGCCTGCATTAAAAAAGTTTTGCCACTGTACGGATATTGGTAATAGAGTTTCAAAACTGAGGAACTGGCACCTTGAGTGAATGGAAAGCAAACACATGAATTTCAAGGATGAAGAGAGGAGAGAGGCAAAAAAATGTGAAACGTATATTACCCCTTCTGTAGGGTACCAAGTACATGCAAATAATAAAAAAATAAAACCCTCTCCCTCCTTCACCTTCTTAATTAACGCAGCACAATTTCTATAATGCAGACTATAGCTTCATAAATTTTGCCTTCTTAAGGGCAGTCATATAAAATCCAATTAAAAAGTTTTTGTTTTTTTTTTAAACATAGTAGAGCCATGCATGCTGCTATTACCAGAAGCAAGTGTGTAAAGAGCATTCTGGAAAGTTATCCGTATCTTCAGCTTTGTTCTCTAGAAATATGCATAGGTCCTTTTTTCTTTACATATATTAGATATGTAGCTAAAGTGCAAGAAATAAAAATCTGGTCCTGAGATTTGGTGGCACAACCAAAAAAGGAGCCAGCCGAAAAGCTGCAGTTTACATAGATAAGGCAAATAAGAAAAAGAAAGTATAGGAAAGATGTAAAAAAGCATAAAAGTTGTCAAAGAGGAAATAAATTACTTAAAAAAGAGTGAGTACAGATCAAAACCATGTAAGACATAGGGGAAACAGATAAATACACTCTGGCTTCCCAGCACTGCAAGCTATTGATTAAACGGACAACTTTCCATGATGAGATTTACAAAAGGTAATCCTACAGGTTGCTTCATCTCCTTACCAAAGAGGATAATTTGATTAAGCATGCAACTTTGCTGAATCAGAGGAGAGTTACAAATGAACCAAGTCCAAAGCTCCAGCTGTTGTAGATGCCTTCCAAAGGGGAGGGGGGGAAAAAAAAAAAAAGCAGCAAATGACACTTACCTTGATATGAGTATGCAGTCCTCAGGGAGATCAGTACTGCCAGAAACACAAAGCGATTCATCCTTCATCCACCTTTTCCTGCACCAGACAGACCTATCAGGAGAAAAGGCGTTTCTGTTTGTTTGTTTGTTTATTTTAGGAGAAATGCATGCCAGACAATAGTCCAGATATTATTACCGTATTTAAGAAAAAGAAACAACAAAGAACCCACACACACTCCAGGCAATTCATGTGAAATTCAGGAAGAATGGACACAGAATTAAAAAAATCTGTTTTTTAGGACCTGATCACAGTATAGGAAAGAATCTGCCACACTCAGAATTCCATTCAACCTACCCAAATAAAGCATAGAAAATCTTCAAAGCTTTCCCTCTGTGTATTTCCAGGGAATATTAAAGCTAAGTTTGTCTTGACATATTTTTGGCTTTCCTCCTGCACAAGTACCAAGAGATTTATCCTCACACGGAAAAAGTAGTATCAAAGTTGCTGAAGGTCTTGCAGTTTCCAGAACACGATTCAGCTCCACCCGAGAGCCTGAGTGAAGAGTCCCGCCGACCTCAGTGACGAGCATGGTTTTCAGCCAGCAGCAAGACACTGCATAGAGGGTTCCAGTTGGGTTGGAGTTGAAACGTACATCTCGAAGTCTTAGCAACTTCCTTTTCTAGAAAGACTGTCTTCTCAAGCACTGAAGAGCCCTGTCTTGCAACCCTTCCGCAACTTGCGGTCTCCCACTTCAACAGGTCAAACTCTGTTTGGCCTGCACAGTTCAGTCCTAAGGGACTGACCAACTGTCAGAGCTCGTAAGACATAGATCACCTGCAAATTCCCCAGTGTAGAAGGAAGACATACAGATAAGTCATTAAAGGGAGGAGAATGGTTAATATCAGCCACGAAACAATCAGCAGTAGTATGGTTAAAGCTCACAGGCAGAAAGGGTACAGGAGTCCAAACAACAGCAACAGGAACACAGAGAAACACAGCTATCTTGAACTTTCAGTTTCCACATTTTACATTTCTGGAGCTGTGTAGAATACTGATAAAGACAGTCTTCTACCACTGCTTCCATGTCATCTACAGAGGAGATAACGGAAGCAGGAACTGCTTAGCAGAACAGATAAGGAGGGTGACCTTCTGTCTCCATTAAAGCCAAGGACAGAACATCTACTGATTTCAAAAAGGCCAGAAATTCACTCCAGAATTTCTTCCCAAAATAAAACCACAAATTTAATACCTCAGAACGGAAGATACTTGAGTTTAATGACCGTGCCTTCGATTCCCTGTATTTCTGGGAAGCTCTGAATTTCTCTGATGGTTCCAAAGAAAAGATTTCAACCCTTTTCTGCCAGTCTCTACAGGTGACTGCTGAATGCTAAATTCAGAAGAGTCCTCGGTGCAGTACTGCAATCCAGGACTCACCCCTCCCAAGACGCACCCTTGCTCCAGTGTGAGCTAACTTTCCTCTTGTGATCACAAATTTTTCATGCAGAGCTCCCCCTATTAAAAAGGCGAGTATTGCTTTGTGTAATGTACGGGCTTCTTTCTTGTCCCTATACTGATAACCTCAAAACTATTTAGACAATACTAAAATAAATACAAATAAAGAATCTAAGTGTTTTTGAGAACCTAGATCTAATTCACGCGACCGACTGTTGCAAGAACCAGCTAAGGGAAATCTGCTTCTTTATATATAAAGTTTATTCTTTTTATTAGCTGATCAAATTTAATATCTAAAAGGGAAAATCATTTGATATACGTTTTGTCTGAAATAAACACAATAGAATTGGCCCTTTGCTATATGGTAATGAATGGCAAGTAAATGACACAGAAGGAAGTTTTTTCAAAGCAGATTATGTTAAAACGTCTGGTAACTCTTCAGTACTTTATTATTGTTTTGAATTATAGTATGCTATATAGTATATTAAAGTGTAGTGATACAAAACCAAACCTCATATGCCCTTTTTCAGAAAGAAAAAAAAAAAAAAAAGGGAAAATGAAACTTCCTTTAATGTCAATGGAGTGGATTCTCTGCACTAAGACTAATTTAATACAGGGGTAGTTCAGTTAGTTTTAGTGGCATAACTCTTGATTTAATTTTATGAGCGTGAAGAAAACCTGGCCTCACAGGACTCCTGATTTTGTCAGCAACTTTTGAGTTGGACACAAAGCTATTTCACCTATTTGTCATGTATCACTTAAAACTAACATTTATTCCAATGGGAAATTATTGAGGAAGTCATGACGTATTAGGCTATTTCTTTAAACTACTGCTGATTTATGAAAACAAATCCAAACCTCTTTCTGCTCTAAAAAGGTTTTCACAACTACTTTATCAAAGTCACCATTTACACTATCGTTTCGTTAATGACATGCCTTAACTCATTTTTACTGCTGCATAGTACGAATATTGCACATTACAAAAGGACAACATAATATAACATCTAACCACCCATCATAACACAAACATATTTTGAAGACAGCTACAATGCTTGTCGCTATTCAGTAAGTTAACAATCTAGTGTAATACTGTATGATAAATTGTGATAATATGCACGTGCAATTATAGCTATCTAATTACAGGTAATGTTTTGGAATTCTCTAACAAAAGAGAATATGAAATATATTTAAATAAATAAAATGTTATTAGAGGAAAAAAAAGAAGTAGTTCTTAATATATGAGTAACATTTTCACCTAAATCATCTCTATGCCAAAACTTCTGCTCATGACTGACAACTAACCACATACGGTAATTATTACCAACCCATGTCAAGCAGTTACTCTATAATATCAATTATTAAGTGCTTTTACAAAGCAATCATTTAAAATCTGTGCATTGATTAAGAAGATTAAAAGAGAATCACAATAGTGGTATTAAACACAATCAATTTCGTTTAAAGAAAAAAAAAAAAAACAAGGTGATATTAGACTAACTACATCCCTGCCAAAAGTAAGATCAATTGAATAACAAAGGAATTGAAGGAATTGAAGACAAGAAGACAGGGAATGTTTTCAGGTATCTGAATAATTAATCCTCCTGAAACAGAGACAGCACTACCTCTGAGAAACAGTGAGTAACCATCAAACGCCACAAGAAAATGGACAGTCACAACTGTTGTTTTGCTGAATAGTTTGGTTGTTTATTTGCCAATCTGAAAAGAGATGAAGCTATGTTCTTCGAGAAATACCACACTAGCAGGCCATAGTTCTTTGTCTGAGGATGAATCATTGCTAAGCTTATTTTAGACCTAAGAGAAGTCATGCTCTGTCCCCATGCTCCAACCTGGAATTCCTGGGTACTTTGTTGCCATGAATTGCAGGGAAGATCAAGAAGTTCTCATGCCAGTGATTTTGAATATGGACAGCAGACACGTCATTTGAATACTTTTTCCTTTCTAGTTACTTTTGTCATGAAAATAATTTTGCAATAGCATCTCACTAGTCCATTTCAGAATCACGGAACAGTTTGTCCAGTCGAGTCTTGAAGATCTCCAAGGATGGAGATTCCGCAACCTCTCTTGGCAACTTGTTCCAGTGCTTAACCATCCTCAGTGTAAAGGTCTGTTTTAGCAAATCCAAGCTGAATTTTCCTTGCTACAGTTTGTGCTCATTTCCTCTTCTCCTTTTGCTGTACGCCTTTGCCAGAAGCATGGCTCCATCTTTTCTGTAATTTGCTCGTTAGTTAGGTAAGGATTGCAGTTAGAACTGCCCATAGCCTTCTCTTCTCAAGGCTAAGCACACCCAGCTCCTTCTGCCACTCCTCTTCCATGTGCTTTAGCCTCCAAACCCTCTTGGTGTCTCTCTAATGGACTCACGCTAGTCTGTCAATCTTCCTTGAACTGGGAGCCCAAAACCGGACACAGTAACCTAGATGTGGCTTCATGAGTGCCAAATAAAAGGGCATAATCACTCCCCTTGGCCTGCTGGCTACGCTCATGCTATCCCAGTTCAGTATGTGGTTATCCTTCACTGCCGCAAGAGCACACCATTGACTCAGGTCAACAGGTCCTTTTTTGCAGAGCAACTACTCTCAGTTCCCAGACTGCACTGTTGTGTGGGATTGCTCCATCCATCCAACAGGACTTTGCATTTGTCTTTGCTAAACTTCAAAAGGTTTGTCAGCCCAATTCCTCCAGCTTGTTAAGGTCCCCCTGAAGAGCACCCTGCCTGAAGAGCACCCCTGCCTGCCAGTGGTATCAACTGCTCCCATCAGTTTGGTGTCATCCACAAGCTTGATAACGGTGTATTCCATTCCGCCATCCAGGGTATCGATGAAGATGATACACAGCACTAGCCCAAGCACTGACCCCCAATAAATACCACCCTAACTGTCCACCTGACAGACTTTGATGTGTTGACATGTTGTGGCTCAGATAGTTTTTCCCCTACCTTGTAGTCTACCCATCCAGTCCACGTTGCCTTACTTTGACCACAAGAATACTATGAAAGATCATTAACGTCCACTGTCCTCCCCTTGTCCATAGGGCCTGCCATTTCAACCTAGAAAGCAATCATGTTGGTCACGCACTGTTTGCCCTTGGTAAATCCATGCTGTCTGTTCCCAAACACACTCTTGTTTTTCATGTGTCTGGAAATGGCTTTCAAGAAAACTTGCTCGATAATCTTCCCAGGGACTGAGGCAAAGCCGACTAGGCTGTAGTTACCCAGTTTTTCTTTCTTGTCCTTGTCCTTTCGTGATGATGGGTGTAACATTTCCTTTTTCCAGTCACTGGGAACTTCCCCCAATCTCCAGAACCTTTTAAAAAAAATGACAACGAGCAGACTTGTAAGAGAATCACGGAACCACTCTATGATTCTGTTGTGAGGCTGCTCTCTGTCATCTTACTGTGTGCCTGCATGATTATTATTCTTTGTCTTTATAAATTAGCTAGCACCTAGATATTTTGGATGGACACTGATTCTCACACCTGAGGAATTCTGTTTAGTTTCTCAAAAGTTCCATAATAACTTAATGAATGACTCAATACAATGGTGCTAGAATCAAGCCCTCCATGTTAGTATTTATACTAAAGTGAAACACTCCGATGATGTAAAGGAGGCTTAAAGTACATGCAGAGGAAGCTTTGCACTAAGATCCAACACTGGAGTTTTGTAACATAAAGAGAGCGTATACAAGAACGAAGCTGAGCCTGTTGCTCTTTCTCTTAAAAATGAATGCTACTTTAGCGCGTTTCAATTTTCCATATCAAAAATAAAATAATGTATCTCTTCAAATTATTTCTGATTTTGCATGTATATATTTGTATTTGTTTATATATTTGTATTCATACTGATGTTTATATATTTAAATTATATTGACAAAAAAGTAAACCTACAGATAATATCTTTGACTAAGATGAAGAACAAGGTTCTCAAATGGGTCCCAAAACAAAACAAACATCCTTACACGGGAAACACCAACACGTGTAATCTGTTTTTACCTGCACTTTCTTTGTAAGAACTTTTTCTGTTAGTCTTCATTCTACAGTCACTCTTTGCCAATTTCTGACCCCTCAGCTACACCGTTCTGCTCTCTCTCTCTCTCTCTCTTTCTCTCGCTCATTCTCATTTTCATTTTCTATCTCATCTCTCTCTCCCTTTTCTCAGGAAAACACGCAAATGGCAGCAAAAGGAGATTCCTTAGATTACGGTTATTGGTGACCTCCTGCTATTGCTGTGATTTTACTCAGCAGAGCGAGAGTTGTGGGAAGAGATAATCACATGAACGCTCTCAACTAGAAACCACCAGGCCTAGCAGACGGCTGGAAGCCGAAAGAAAACCTAGACTAATATCTGCAATTGAATTACAGATGAAATTTTAGCAACAAAGCCCCACACTTAGCTTACCAACCCTAACCGAAAACTAAAGTGGAATCCAGCCCCCCAAAATACACACAAATTATTGCTGTTTCTGGGTTTTTCTTTTGGGGGGTTTTAATACAGGAAGGCTAGACTATGGTCCACAGTTTACCCAAAGGATCCAAGACGCACAAGGCAAAAGCAGTGACTGTGACTTTCTATATTAGCGTATATAGCAATACATTTTCAATCTTCAAACTAGTGAATCGGAGGTAAACTGTTCCCCCTTGATCCTTCTGACTTTCTTAAACAGCATGCCTTCAAAAAGAGACAACTTACATATGTACTCCGCCAGCTTCCCCAGCCAGCTTTTATTCTTTACCAGCAATAACAACAGTGGTTCCAGTTCTAGCTTCTCCCGTGAAGAATCTGATAATTGGGACACTCTGTAAAATGATCTGTGAAATGGGGGATAATCCTGAGCCATAAGTGAAAGATGATTTGACAGAAAAAATTCTCTCCCTCCCTCTAACATTTCAACACCTGTGGGGGAATAAAGTAAGCAGATGTCTTGTCAGTCCCCAGCCTACACCATTAATTGTTTCTTCACTCATGAATATACATCCTACTCGTAATTCCACTAATGCGAAAAATTCCCCTGACATGTAACCTGGGGTGTGACAAGACTGATACAACTGGATTCAGGGTTCCCCAACCAAACTTGTAATTAACCAATACTGAGAGATACATCAGTAGGGCAGAAGCAATTTTGAGAGCTGGCAGTAACTACGATAACATTCAGCAGCAACAGGAACTGTTCAGAGACCCAGCAATCTAACAACCACCATTCAAGAAGCAGAGACAGCACAGGAATACATTACCTCAGGCGGAGAGGAAATCTCTTTCAACAGGCAGTTTGAAAATACGTTAAAGCAACACCTTTACGTGAGCTGTTTCCGCTTCAGAGCAAAAGGCTGGCTTAGATGAAATCCCACGCAGCCCAATTCTTTCGTGATTCTGTGGACAAGAGGGGAAAAAAAATTCCCATTATTCATCTTGCAAATATGCCTAAGATAAACATTTCGTCAAACCTCTCGTCAAAGGCACTAAAGCACCAAAATTCCATTTCAACATCTTTCAGGATCTGACTTTCAATATTCAGGAGTCAGTGGCTCGGAGCTGGGGCTACCGAGGCGCGCACACCGCTGCGGTACCCCAGAGCAGAAGCCTACGGCTCTGGAAGACCCGCACCTATGACAAGGAAGCCCCGGCTATGAACATCTAACATCATCCGACCCCAGAGGAGCTCTGCCTTTATTCATCTCCTTAGAGCTGCATGTTCCAACCCAGACTTTATAAAACTTTCAGCACCCTTTGATCTGCTTATTTAAAAACAGCTGCCAGTTACAAATGAAACAGAGCTTGCGCGCAGGCTGGGAAAATAAAGTTCTTTAGTTTCTACAATCCAGAAAACATCTTATTCCTTTAAAGGAGAATACTCCAGGGTATTAGATAAGGGCACCAAATCATAAGCACTATCAATTGGACAAATTGTCCTAAATCAGCTACGGAAGAGGACTAACTGTCAGTGAGGCACATGCAATAATGACATAACTATACTTTGAAATTTTATCACATTTTTCATCCAGTGTTCTCATTCCCTCTGCTTTACAGGCAGACAGACTGAGGACAGGAACCACAATTCAAATTCCTACCATGCAGTACTAGGTCTCAAACACAACTAACGTGTTTAGCTTCAAAATCTAAGCTCCTTTCCTTACCATAAGCTCCTTTCCATGCCATCATAGAGAAAGGGGCACTCCTAGAAAGAAAACCAGGTCGGAGGTGGGCTAGCTCGTTCTCTGGAGACGTTTATTCCTCTTAAACAGAGACGTGGCTAGTTAAGCGCCTAAAATGAAGTAGAATGCTCTAAGTCACTGATTTGTACAAAATCACTGCACAGAGGTGTAACTCTCTGCTCTCCTGACTCCTACACTCCCCCATATGACATCTTCACTTGCAAACCAACATCCAAATGAGATGGCTTTATTCCCCCTTGAAAGAGGGGACAGCAACAAGTCAGCTGAAACCTACAGAGATTTGGTAAAGCACCAGTTGCCAGAGCAGCCTACCAAACAGACCGCTTTTCAAAATATATGTCACGCTGTTTATCCAAAAGATGATTTGCAACAGTTCTGAACTGAGAAAATAAATGGCTGAGATGCCAAATTCTGAAATGGATGAACTCCTCATTTAGTCCTTGCACGCAACCTTTTTTCTCCCAGGCAAATTTAAAGATGGTTTCAATTACTCTTGATTTATTTACTGGAAATATGCCTGTGCATAAGACACTGAAAGGACCTAATGAACCTTTGTGATCTAATGGGTGAACAACAGGTTTTTAAAAGCTAGGTGTAGAATATAATTAAGGTCTGACAGGCATATAATCACTTCATTACTTAAGGACAGCTGTATCTCCTGTTGTTTGGAAAAACAGAAAGCTCTTTTAATGCATGTTGTTGGTTTTCTAAAGAGCTTCGGGAAAACAGGAAAACATGATGTATTTTATGGTCCCACGAAAGCTTCGATACAAATAAAAAGGCAATTAAAGAGAGAAAAATAGGGGGTCTAAAAAATGTGAAGTGCTTAACAAACTGAGAATGGCTTGCTCCTGCCCCCAAAAACGCAAAGGCTAACAACCATACGGAATTAATCACACAACACTGCAGCCGCTCATACCAAGAGAGAGAATAGTTTTACCATGTTTTTAAGGCATGATCTGCTTCTAACGCTTTCAGGATCTGGTTTACTCTGCTAGAGTAACGAATGGCCCAGGCATGCAACGCTTAGATAGCAAAAGAGATATGAAAAGGTTATGCCAAAAAAAACAGCCAAACTTCAAAGGATACAGAAACCACACTGGAATTTCCAGTGTTTTCTCATTTACTCTGATGCTTCTGAGGTTAAACAACAGATTTCAGCTGTTCAAAAGAAAGCCGGAGTAACACTTCATCTCCGTACAACTCTGGATTTAAAGGCCGGAGTCTGGCCGCCCTTGCCAGGGTCCAGACCTCAGACACGCGTACCTGCGGAGGCGCCGCGCTGCGGCGGGCCTGCGCGCAGATTTCTGCGCAAATCGACACGTTCCCAGAGAAACACAGAACAGGAGGCCTTAACACCGAAGCTTTAAACACCCGCCAGGAGCAGCATCCTTCTCCCAAGACGTAGGCACCTCAGTATTTGTTGCTCA